CTCATTTCTGGTCCCAATACACAATCTCGCCAGGGACTCTTCCCCCCGCCCCACCCCCATCATAAAGCCAAGAGCAGTGTCTCTCTGCCCTCCCCTCCCCCCCCATAGAGACAAGGGCAGGGTGTCTCTACCTCTTCCCCCTCCCACTCAAGAGCCAAGGTTAGGGGTGCTTTGCTGCCTGGCTCCCCTCACCCCATTGCCAAGATTAGGGTTTGTTTTGCCTCCCCCCAAAGTCAGGGGCTCTCTACACCCAGTCTGATCATAAAGCCAAGAGCAGTGTCTCTCTGCCCTCCCCTCCCCCCCCATAGAGACAAGGGCAGGGTGTCTCTACCTCTTCCCCCTCCCACTCAAGAGCCAAGGTTAGGGGTGCTTTGCTGCCTGGCTCCCCTCACCCCATTGCCAAGATTAGGGTTTGTTTTGCCTCCCCCCAAAGTCAGGGGCTCTCTACACCCAGTCTGCCATCTTCTGGTCCATAAGACCTACATTCCCTAGCCAGGTGTACTCAGCATCCTTCTCCTCCCCACATCCCTTGGTTATGGGGTGTCTGCATTCCTCACCTCAGATAATGTGTTTCAGTGCACATATTTATTGCAATGGCTTGTGCATGCCACCTTTCCTGCCCAGGTTAGGAACTGTGAACTCTCCTCTCTCTTAGGAGTTTGTTCAAACCCCCTTCCTCCATGAATAGTAGTTCCTAGAGGCCCCAAGGCCCCATTGTGCTAGGTACCATACATACAGGTCACCAGAGGCTGTCCCTGCTGGAGGAGTTCAGAGTCAGAGAGTATGTCTACACTACCACCCTAGTTCGAACTAGGGTGGTAATGTAGGCAACCGAAGTTGCAAATGAAGCCTGGGATTTGAATTTCCCGGGCTTCTTTTGCAACTCCGGTTGCCTATATTACCACCCTAGTTCGAACTAGGGTGGTAATGTAGGCAACCGAAGTTGCAAATGAAGCCTGGGATTTGAATTTCCCGGGCTTCTTTTGCAACTCCGGTTGCCTATATTACCACCCTAGTTCGAACTAGGGTGGTAATGTAGGCAACCGAAGTTGCAAATGAAGCCTGGGATTTGAATTTCCCGGGCTTCTTTTGCAACTCCGGTTGCCTATATTACCACCCTAGTTCGAACTAGGGTGGTAGTGTAGACATACCCTGATTGGGTAAGACAGTTAAAATCTTGTCTAGAAAAGTGCTTCCCTTTCACTACATTAAGTATTAAAAATGATCTTGTGAAAGTGGTGCAGGCCCCCTTGTAGCTGCACTTACAGCCATACTAGGTCAGAGCAATGATCCAGCCTGTATCCTATTTTCAGATAGTGGCCAATCCCATTGCTTTAGAGGAATGAATGGAACAGGCAATCAGCCAGCTAACTCAATACAAGCTAACTCACTTAAACCAGTGTAAAGGTTTATACTAGATGGGGGGCGAGATTGGGTAGTTTAACTGGATCAGTTTCAAAATTGATTTCGCTTTATCTGCAGAGGAAAAATTGTTCAAAATAGCTATTGTGGGATAATCTACTCTTCAATAACTACTCCAAAATAGCTCCCCATGTGGACACTACTCTGGAAAAAGTTACTTTATTCCTGAATTAGGGCACTTCCAAAGTGGAGATGTTATTCTGGAATGAAATCACTTTAATTCTGCAATATATCCATGTAGAATAGTTTCTGCAAGTCAATTTCTGGACAAGTCCATAGTGATTTGTGCACTTTTAAAATGTAGGGTGACCTAGCTGCACTGCTCAGGACTATGAAAAATTCACACCCCTGAGAGACAGACTTACCCTGACATAACCCCCGGGGATAGATGCTGCTAGGCTGGGCAAGTCTACGTTACAATGCACTACATCCTATGAAACTGTGCTGTACTGACAGAGGAGCATGCTCTGGTTGGTGTAATTACTCCACTTTGGTGAGAAATGGAAGCTACCTCAGCAGGACTCGCTCTGGCTATGTCTAGACTACAAGCCTCTTTTGAAAGAGGCTATTTTGAAAGTATCCTTTGAAAAAACCTCTTTTGAAAAAGAGCATCTAGACTACAACCAGTACTTTCGAAAAAGTGAGCCACTTTTTTGAAAGCACCAAGGCAGTCTGGATGCTCTCTTTTGAAAAAGCCCTGTTTGCACTCAAGAACGCCTTTTTTCGAAAACGGCGAGAAGTCCTGTGGCACTTTATAGACTAACTGAAGTGTTGGAGCATAAGCTTTCATGGGCAAAGACCCACGGCTATTCCTCTGATACTTTTTTCGAAAGAGCGCTTTCAAAAAAAGGTGTTCTTCCTCATAAAATGAGGTTTACTGGGGTTGAAAAAAATGCTGTGTTCTTTTTATTTGATTTTGAAAGAACTCGGCGGCAGTCTAGACACGGAAAGTTTTTTCGAAAAAAGGCTACTTTTAAAAAAAAAAACTGTAGTCTAAATACACCCTCATGCTTTTTTGCTGACCTAACACCAGTGTGGACAGTGCAAAACTTGTGTTGTTCAGGAAGAGGGGGCTTTTTCTCACCCCTGAGTGATGTAAATTATAGCAACTTAGGTGGTAGTGTAGAGCTGCCCTAGATGGAAGAATTCTGTGAATTTAGCTGCTGCCTCTCAGACTATATCTACACTGCGGTGGGGATTGGCTCACTGAGACTGATCCACCAGTAGTCAATTTAGCAGGTCTAGTGAAGATCCACCAAATAGACTACAAATCACACTCCAGTTGACATCATGACTTTATCAGAGGCGAGAAGCATAAGGTAAATTGATGGGAAGTTTTTCCCATCAACACCCATGGTGTAGAACCTGTAATAACTCAGCCTAAGGTATGTCCACTCCAGCTGCATTTTTCATGTAGCTGGAATTGCGTAGCTTAGGCTGACTTTCTGCTGTAGTAGAAACATGGGCTCAGAGTGGTGGATTAACTACAGCTCTTCTGTCACTTATCAAGTGTCTACACTTTCCATAGCTGTGCAGGGCAAGTGTATATTTAAAACACAGCAATGGCACAGCTGCTGTGGCACTTCAGTGAAGATACTATGCCAATAAAAGGGAGCTCTCCCATCAGCATAGTTATTTCACCCTGCTGGGAGGCATTAACTGCATCAAGCTCTCCCATCAACAGCACTGTTTATTTGGGGGGTAGGTCAGTATAACTATGTCATGCACGAATGTGAGTTTTCTAACCTCTGGGTGGCATAGTTATATCTATACAGGTCTGTAATGGAGACTAGACCTAACACAGGCGAAGACTGAAGTTTGGGAGGGGAATCAGGCATAGAGAGGTGAAGTGACTGGCTTAATGTCAAATCAAGCATGTCTTCTCTATCTGCCGGATTGACTGGCAGCAGTCGATCCAGCAGGGGTCGATTTACTCTCTCATCAGCTCCGGTACTCCACCAGAATGAGAACCGTAGACAGAGTAAATGGGAGAACATCAGGTGTCGACTTACTGCGGTGTCCTCACTGCAGTAAGTAGATCTAAGTATGCAGATTTTGTAGCTGAAGTTGTGTAACTTAGATCAATGGCCTGCGGTATTGTAGATTAGGCCTAGGTGGTACAGCTGTGCTGCTGTAACATATGTATTGCAGCCACTCTGCTGGCAAGAGAGCGCTTTCCTGGTGGTAAATTAAAATTACCCCCAAAAAGTGGCAGTAGCTTTGTCAACAGGAGAGCATCTCCCTTCAGCAAAGCACTGTCCACACTGGTGCTTTTTATTGGTAAAACTCTTGTCAGTCATGGGGGTATTTTTTTCGCACCCCAGACTTGACAAAAGTTTTACTGATGAAAATGTAGTGTAGACATAGCCTTACGGCTGGCCTACATTGGGAACTTGTATAGATATAGCTACATCTCAGGGTGTGTCTAGACTACATCCCTTTTTTGGTAAAGGTATGTAAATTGGGCACGTCGATATTGCAAATGAAGCCGGGATTTGAATTTCCTGTGCTTCATTTGCATAATGGCAGGCATCCGGGCTTTTTTGGGAAAAAAATGGCAGTTTAGACGCGGATCTTTTGAAAATAAAACCCTTTTTTGAAAGATCCTGTAAACCTTGTTTTTTGAGGAGTACAGGATCTTTCAAAAAAGGGTTTTATTTTTGAAAGATCCGTGTCTAAACTGATGGTTTTTTTTTCAAAAAAGCCCCATTTCGGAAAAAAGCGGCAGCTGCCATTATGCAAATGAAGCATGGAAAATTCAAATCCTGGCTTCATTTGCAATATTGACGTGCCTAATTTACATCCCTTTACTGAAAAAGGGATGTAGTCTAGATGTACCCATAGAGGACAGGTCTACCCTAGACTTGGCAGCTCAGCTTAAGGTACGCAACTCCATCTACATAGAATACATGGCTGGAATCAACTTATCTTAAGCCTAACTTGGTAGCATTCCTCACAGCAAGAGGCCAATGGGAGCAAATGCTCTCATCAGTTTCCCTTACTCATATCAGGAGCAGGAGTACTGGATCCCAATGGGGCACTCTTTGAGTTCAATTTAGCGAGTCTTAACTAGACTTGCTAAACTGAATTCCGGAAGATTGATCGTAGCAGCAACCTTCTTCTGTGGAGTGAAGATGTGGCCAGAGGAATATAAAAAATCTGTGCCCCTGAGGGTACGTCTATACTATACTTCTCTGTCAGAAGAGGAATGTAAATTAGATGTATTGAAAGTGCAAATGAAGCAGGGATTTAAATATCCTGTGCTTCATTTGCATAATGGCGGCTGCCGCTTTTTTTCGAAACAAGGCTTTTCGAAAAAGCTGGCAGTTTAGATGGGGCATTTTCTACAGAAATGCCCCATTTCAGAATATCCTGTACTCCTCAAAAACTCCTCAAAATGTCTAAGCTGCAGGTTTTTTTCAAAAAGCCCCGTTTTGAAAAAAAGCGGCGGCCGCCATTATGCAAATGAAGCTCGGGATATTTAAATCCCGGCTTCATTTGCACTTTCGATACATCTATCGACAGAGGGGTGTAGTTTAGATGTACCCTGAGTGATGTAGCTCTACCAACCTGACTTGTGGGCTAGACAGTGCTAAGGGAATAGAAGAATTATTCTGTTGTCATAGTTACCACTTCTTAGGGAGGTGTAGTATTTACCCCAATAGGGCAACCCCTCCTGGGGGCATAGGTAATATTTACACAGAGGTACCACAGCAGTGCCACTGTTGAATGTTAGGTGTGAAAAAGCCCTTAGTGCACTGACCTATCCACTAGATCTTCCTGCCACTTGCTACTTTAGGAACTTGTGAACTCTCCCCACAGCAGTTTCTGGGCCTTTATGTGAGGATTTGGTGAGGATTCTTTGCAGCTCCTTCCTCTGCTCAGGTAAAAGTCTCTCCCTTCCACACACACATACCATCCAAGAGTCACCATGCAACACTTCACCCTTTCTTCTAAAGCAGGAATATTTGCCTCCCTCCCTAAATCAAAAGTCTGTGCTCAGCCTATGTATGTGTGTGTGTGGGGGGGTGCTCCCCCAGTCCTCCATCTAAGCTTAAAACATCCTCAATGCACAAAGACAAACTAGTCTTTGGTGTTACTCAGAGGGATTTGTTTTAACCAGATGCTAAATTTTGTGGCTCCTGGTTATTCTTGTCACCACTGCCTCATTACTAGTCCTTCAGAGAAACTCTAGCCATTTTTAAACAAGATCAACTTGCATTTATGCATTTGAAGTCTCTGTCCTTGAAAATATTATAATATTTAGAAATGTAAAAGATTTTCAGGCCAGAAGGGACCATTATGACTGTCTAGTCTGCCCTCTTCCATAGCAGGGTCTGCAAAATTCACCTAGTTATTCCTGGATGTTCCTAAACTATATAGTTACATTTTTGTATGTTTGGTTCCACTCATAGTATTTCACTGTAGGAAGGGTATTTGATAAAATTATTTCATTCCTGTTCTCCCCTCTTGACTTCACTGCAGATTTTGCCCAGTAACCAAGTGTGCCAATTTCTAATCCAAGAAATTTTCCTCCTAAAAGTATCAAGACCACAGGTACAGATGTTATTTTTGTGCTTCTGTAGCTGGTGCGTAAGCTATTATGATTTAAATAAACACTTGGAGAGTCTCCTAATGACTTTCTCAGGAAGGACAGGAAGGGTGAAAATTAGAATATTATTGATTTGCTAACGACTTTATCACTTCTGCTTCAGAAATGAAACAGCAAGATCTCCCAGGCCTCTTCACTGAGAACATGGCAACAAACGAGCTATGCGCTTTATGTAGAGTCCTTTCCTAGCAAACTACACCTTAGTACAAGCCCCAAGTAAAGCTCTTGCTTGAGCTTTGTTTGCATATTCAGGGGCTTGATGAATAGATCTAGTAGTGTAGCAACTCTACAAACATGCCAGTGAATTGGCAGAGGTGTGAAAATCTGCTGCTTTGAGCAGTGCTGTTTGGGTTCTCTAATTAAAATCCAATAAAGGATCTGCATTGTCATTCTGATTCATGTAATAAATGCAGACACTCTTGGAAGAGAGGACACTTCCATTTTTTTTCCCAGCTTCTTCTCCCCCCGCTGCCCCCTAACCCTATTTGTTCAGGTGCAGAAACCCTATGTGCCAATTCACACACATACTCTCCAAAAAACCAGGCCCTTCCAAGCACTATTTGCACAGCAGAGCCACTTTTCCAAGACACTCAAGATGTGTATTTGAATTTTAAATGTAGGAGCTTGCTCTAAATACTTGCAGTAGCCCATTATCAATGTCCCTTTTACCACCCCAGCCTCTCTTCTCTGTCCTGATGACAATAATTCAGACCTTGGGGGAAACTTTCTTTGCATTCCAATCTCTGGGATCATACTTTTTGCAAATAGAGATCTAGAGAAAGAATCTTCCTGACTGGAATTATAGGGTTTAATCTTCTCATAAGATTCTCAGTCATGAAATGAGGTTTTGACCATTTGAAATCAGACTGAGCTGGCTGAATTCAAGCCTGCTCTCTTGAAACCTGTGTAGTACAGTCACACGACCCTGCCTGACACACACTAAATATTACCCCAAACCTCCAAGTGTGGGTGGAATTTTAATGAGTAGATTTTGTTCTCTTGGAATTATTTGTCTCCTATGAAATATACATGGAGTTGGATTATGTTGTTCATTTGGAATAAGGTTACTGTGCATCACAGACGGGCACCTTAAGCTGAGCATATCTTTACTATTGAAAAGGACATTTAATATCACTAGAAGCCTAGCCCCTTTGTGGAGATTGCTTTGGTTAAATAAAACGAGCAGATTAACCAAAGCAATACCACGGACTCAATGGAAAGCCTGCATTGGCCAGGAGAAGTGTTACTCTTCATGAGACCAAGAATGTAAAGCTGGTTAAGGGGCCGAATCAGCTCCCAGTAGAGTCAAGGGAAGTCTAACTAACTTCTAAGCAAACAGCTATATTTAGAGAAAGTCATTATTTTCTTTCTCAACTAAGTATTTCTTGACACTTTAAAAGTGTGTCTCGGCTAAACGAGGCTATTAAAATACAGTTTAGATGCTATGCAACAAACACTTAGAGGTGAAAAACCCAGCTCTTTCTGCGAGGCATGTTAACAGTTTTGCTAAAAGCGTCAATTTATGCGCCAGAAATGAAGTTTCAAATTTCGCGATTTATTGCCAGCGAGTTATTCCTTTGTTGAAACAGCATGTGGCGTTGTAAGCACAGGGGAAACAATCCCGGGGCTTCCTAGCGGCTACAGATTAAGCCATGAATGTGAATGGCATTAATTTTCCTTTCTTTTTTCTTTTCCCCTGCGCACGCTAGCGGGTCCTGCTCGCCATAGTCATAGCCATAGATTTGGGCAACCCGCTCGCTGTGTGGAAATGGTCGCGAGCTCCCGCCGCCCTTACCTGCTTTGACGGAGCAGTGGATGTGGGCCTTGGACTCGTAGTAGACCCAGTCGAAGCCCGCCTCCACCGCCAGCCGGGCCAGCATGCCGTACTTGCTGCGGTCCCTGTCCGAGGTGGTGATGTCCACGGCTCGGCCCTCGTAGTGCAGCGACTCCTCGGAGTGGTGCCCATCTTCATCCCATCCCTCCGTCACCCTCAGCTTCACGCCTGGCCACTGGTTCATCACCGAGATAGCCAGCGCGTTCAGCTTGTCTTTGCATCTCTGCAGGGGCACACAAGGGACACAGATGGCTGGGGCCTTTGCACCCTCCGGCCCCCCAAAATAGCACACGCCCGGCATCTCGAGAGTCAAATGCTGGGACAAGGCAGTAACCTGCGTCCTGAGCCCGCTGCCATTAAAGCCAATGGCCAAACTCCTGGGGGGGAAGGATCACCCTGTATATTCGCTGCAAAGGGCCAGGCCAGGGGGTCGAAAGGCTTCCCAGGGACCTTATGGGCAAGCCGGATAGCCTGATGTAGGAAGAAGAGCGAGATCGGGAGAGGAGAAAGTTGGAGCCCGAATAACACGGAGTAAAGGGGCCGAAATATCACTAAACACTTCCAAAAGCTCAGCCACTTTCTTACAGCCTGCAACCTGTTTGAGTGTCAGAAGGAAACCTCGAGCATCGCATGTACTCTCCTTCCACCCCTATGTACGCCTCTCTCTGGGGTGTGTGTGACTGTGTTTTGTAGAAAGCTGAGGTCCAGCTCCACTTTTCAAACCTAAAATAGATGAAGGCGAATTCTCCCAAAGAATACGTGCGTTTCACGCTACTGGGAGCGGAGTAAAGTTTCCAAAAGACAAACACTTGCCATATATCTGGGAATCAAATATTTTCCCCTGGAATGTCTCTCCGGGTCTTTTCAACTTAAGTCTGTGTTGAAAAGGTCCTCAATACATGTTAACAGCCTTTATGTTTTAGAAGGAGTTTGTCCTTCGTAGCTCACTCATTAGAGCCCCTAGACCAGCTTGGGCTAGAAATATTCATCGTGCTTGAAATATACACACGTAGATATAAAAGCAAACCCACACGATATCTCTTAGGGAAAAGAATGAAAAGCGGAGAGGGATCAGGTTGATAGCAATGCTAAAAACCAACAAACCCAGAGGTGTGCTATCGTAGAATAAGAAACCGGGAGTGACAACATGCATTCTTTATTATGGAGTGCCACATTCTTTTAACTCCATAGGCCACTGCCACAGGATTAGCTTTCTGTTTTCTTTACCCAGCTCCTTTCCTTTATGTTTTCCTGTTTTTATGAAATTTATCATGCAGGACCCGGCAATTCTGGGAGAAGTTTTAAGAGATTATGGACAATCTAAAGGTGGAAATGGGGGAGGGGAAAGGCCAGAGAGAGGGGCAACCGAGCAAAGCTACCAAAAATCATAAACTAAGAACAGTTTGGATAGATTCTTATCACACCCGAGAATTTGAAAAGAATATTGCTCTGCATGAATTAACCAGTTCTAGAAAAAGACAACCCACCAACCACATCTACTGGGGATTGGAAACAGCAAGAAACATTACAGGCACAGTTGCAAATGGAGACAATTTGCAGAACTAGAAAAATGCATGTTTCTGGCTGATATTTTGAAAAGGACAAAGCTGTTTTATTTTATGGGTATTGTGTCGGTCAAAGAAATATCGGTATTATGGGTCAAAGAAATATCATTGTCGGTTGAATAAAGCTAAAGCCAAGTGCATCAAGTGGATAGGGATGTTAGGCTTTCTCCAGGACAACTCTCCCCAATACTCTTATCACTGTGTAAAACCACACAGCTTCCAGATGGGGAGAAAAACCCTCGCACTATTCCTGCTACACTACTTTTAGGTACGTGACCGGACTGCTTAACCGGAAGGCTCCAGTGGGTGTTTTCCAGCCATAAAGAGATACCCTGGCACTACTGCGGTGGCAGTTAAATAAAAATGTCCTGGCGAGCCCACCTTGGACTCCGTGGGCGATTGCTTCATGTGACTTAACGTTTTTATGGAAAGAGCTGGTTGGTTGGTCTTTAATGCAGTGTTAGCCTAGGAAAAGCAACAAACCATAGGGAAGTTTAGCTTGTGAATTTCTCTCTCACGGGCACCAGACCGTGTGTGTCTTTCCATTGTTTTACAGAATAAAAGGCGAAACATTAAATGTTTTAGGCCGCTGACAAGGAAAAAACCCCTTAGTTGCACTGCAGTCTAAACCCAGGGTACTTTATAACTGAGAAAACAAATAGGGAGGAGAATAGAGGAGGCAGGGTTGCTATTCCAGCTCCTTCCCCTATAAATATTAGCTAAAGTCTTTCTGGCAAAATAAAGGGGAAGGGACGACCTATTAAAGGACTTTCCTTCCTTTTATACTGGCTGAGCTGGCTTGTCAGAGTCAAAAGCCGTGAAGGCCAGACTATTTATTAATTCATTGGGTCGTGTGCCACAAATCAAGCCCAATTCTGTTCAGCCACCGTGAAACGCAGCAGGGCTGCCTCGACTAACGCTTTGTGTGGAGGCAAAGTTGTTCAACAAGCCCTCTCCTGCCAGCCCCTAATCTCTTCACAAATGAATTGCTTGAAGGAAACACTTAACAGGTACCTGTCAATGTAAACAACCTGGTGGGCTTCCCAAATGCCAAGCTGAGCTCCAAATGCCTCACATCAGGCCCCGGTTGTGTGGCACTAGATTTTTGTTTTATTTCATACAAATTCCAGCTTTATCATCCTGACCTGGCCCCCTTATCTCTTTCACAAATCCGGCCAATGGTTGCTCTGCGTGTGTGTGTACGGGGCGGGGAGGGGCGGGGGAGCATTCAGCAAACTGCTGTTGTCACCTGCAAAGTTAAGAACCTGACTTACCTAGCTCTGTTTGCGTTTTTTCCCCCTCTCTTAAGTTAATATTAACTAGCAGCTAATGCATTCAGCAACGATTCTGAAAGTTTAACAATTCCATTCAGGGAAGATCTTTCCATGGTCGAAGGGCTTGTGAAGCAGGCATTTAAAGGCTTGAATTTAACAGAACAAGAGGTTGCTGATTGAGAGAGGAAGAAAGAGATTGGCCAGGCTCATTGTAGGATTGCAATATGAGGGAATTCTGATGTCAGCCGCAGCTTCCCACCACCTCCCTACAATATCGCTATTGGAAGGCCCACGAGCAATCCCCCCGCCAACCCACCCCGAACATTGCTCTAGGATCACTGCTGTTCAGTTACCCCATGGCCTCCCTCCGCAGCCCCAGCCAGGGTTATGAGATCACTTCTGTCCCTTTCCTCCCCTCCCCCAATATCATTATGCAATCATCGACGTCCCATTATCCTTTCCTCCCCTCTCTTGCCCACCCTGTCCCCAAAGGGTGTTCAGTGAGGAAGCTGCTGCCAGACGTCGCTCTCTTATTTTTGGGTGGTACCTAAGCTGTGCTGCGGTGTTACTCCCACCCCCAGCCCCTTTTCGTGGGTGAGGAACGAGAAGAGTCACTGAAGGAAAAAGTATTTGTTTTCGTTTCGTTCGTCTGAGGGAAGTTGACAGAAGGTCAGAAGTTCAAATGCTGCCAGCTATTGCAGCGAGAGTGGCAAGCCATGTAGAAGGCTCTGTATTCCCAGGGAAGGGCAGCTAGAGAGACGAGGCACATCCAAGGCGGCAGTAGAGGAGAAAGGCGACACTACAATACATGCTGGGGTCTCTTCTCTCCCCCTCCCCTTCAGCCCATCCTTCTCTTAAAAATCCATCCACACACATT